GCAAAAGCTGTTATAATAACATAGCCTGGAAGCATGCGTATCTATGCGTTAGAACGGTGTTCCCGATAAAAAGTAACTACGAGGATGGTGAATGGGTGTAGTCGAGAGTTAATCGGTGTAATAAAACTTAAGTTTAATCAGAGAAAATAATTAGACGGTGCGGTGTACGTATAATTTATAATTCAACGGACGAGTAGCAAAATTTCTGTAAAAACTTTGCGCGTTGCAAATGTGATAGAAATTTTTGAAAGCTGGAAATTATTACGTTCGCTTTTGGAATTTATTTTTCTTTCGAAAATGATCAATGAAATTCTTAAGAGAAGTTGACTGGATTTAGGAGACAGCGATGCAGGAGGATAAATATTTTTTATTTACTTGTGACCAGAATAAAACCACCTGTTTGACAGGTGAATGCGTGTGCAATGACCGTCGTTTCTCCGTTACCGTGAATGATACAAAGCGATCAGTCTCTCGTTAATTGAATGCAACGATGCTCGTCGTGTTGCGTTGGCTGCACAAATGCACAGTGGGTGTTTCATTGTGAGAGCTTTATGAATTTATCTCAGGTGGTCCATGACATGGTCAAGGAAACTGCAAGGTGCTGGATGCATGGATACGCGGACTGAAAGAATACGGGAAGAGACTTGATTGGATAATTAATGAACCGTGCGAGCTTGGTCGCTGGAGGGAGCGTGTTTATTGGTTCGTTACGAGTACATCGTTGACAAGCGTAATAGCCACTTTATCTGCGAAAACTGGACGTTCTTCCATGGTATTAACTCGATTACCGTGTACAAAGCGTTCACAAAACATACCTGTACACTGCTATTAAAAAGCTAGGGGCATCTCTTTACGTCAAATTAAAATGAGGCGCAAATCTCCAAACACTTCTCAGTTTCTCGCCGAGAATTTAATATTACATTAAACTTCTTGCAAGTGTAAAATCTCGTTCTATTGAGTTTCTAATATAATAGGATACTTATCGAATTTCCATGCAAATTCGTATTTTTATAAAGCTTCGTGTTTCATCCGTTGAATATTATAACTAGTACTATACTTTCGATATCTTGTATATTTTTGCAATTTAAAGTTTCTCAAAAATGCATAGAAATCTACGGTGTGGTTATAATAGATTGTTTAAAACGACGCAGATTTTTATCTGTTTTATCTGCGCTTTGATATAAGGTAGCAAAAAGTGTATATAGTAAAGAGACACGTAATTTGATTGAAAAAAAAAAAGAAAAAGCCGAGTTGATCTCCGCATTTGCTCTATATCTTTGTTTTAAGAAAGAAAATTCATCGCGATGTCTGATTATATCCTTCTTAATAAAGATTGCTATGACGTATATTTTTCTACTGCCGAAGTAGCTGAATTATCCAGAACAGTTTCACGTGTCTGCAGATTTTCAGCACAAATAAGATTTACTTCTCATGACTGGACCAAGTAAAATAGATTAAAGCTTCATTAGGAGAAATTAAATAGTTTCGAATCGCATCGAATTTAAAGTTTCCATGTTCTAAGATACTTGATACAGTGGAATACGTTTGTACTCGTACAACATCGTTGGATAATGAATAATCGCACTGACAAGAATTCTTACGCAAAGTGAGCTGCACGTAATAATGGTCGGCTGCGTGAACGCAAGTCTCAAAGAAGGTAAGTCCATTGTCGGTAGAGTGGCTCAAACGAAATAAATCGGGCGGTTTGAATACGATAGGGAACGGGGCCGTAAGTTACAGTGAATTAAACCATTCTTCATATCGTGACATATTTTACATCCTGCTATCATAACGTCGGTTAATCATTGCTCAGCCAGGTGTAATTTATTGTTACGCTGGCAAAAATGCGAACGCCATAACGGTACGAGTGTATTTTTCCTTTGTAAAGTATGGTTCCGAGTACCGCCTAACTATGCTAATTTCAATCGTAACTCACATACGGTACAATTACGAATGTATTCATTCATAAAATTGATTCAGTGTTAACAACAGAGGAATATGGAGGGCAGATAAAGTGATGTATGCGTTGGTGCCTTATCTTTACTTCCTCTTCGCTCTGCCTTTTACTTCTTTCGTGTCAAACCGATTCCGCGTGTTCGGCATCAGAAACGTCGAATATTTGTCATTTGAAGATATCTGCATTTAGACACCGTGTATATTGGTCTATTTTTATTATTGAACGAATTCGAGGAGCAGGATTCACCGACGAATAATGCGACTTTAAATGAATTTATTTTACCTTCGATCGTTCTTTCATCTACCCAACTTTATCTACTCTGTATCGATCATTTTCATTTACGGAGAAGTATTAACCTACTTATACCGAAAAGCTATTAGTTTAGCAGATATCTTAACTTCAGTTCGTCGAATTTAACCGCTTCGCATCTTTCCTTCTCTTTCGCTCGTTAAACTTGACAAATGGAAGTTGAAGTATCTGATAAACCGATGGTCTTTCGATACAAATAGGCTAATAGCTTCTCCCGGGGAGAATATCCAGCTGGATGAACCAATCTTACAAAAACGATACGGCGCTATTTAAAAAGATGCTTTCAGCATCTGAAAAAATCAGATTTAATATCTCGAAACGTACAAAGCATCGAAGGATCAAGTTATCTAACATTCGTCCTATCAGGCACGTCGAATACGATCAATTCAAACGCCTTTTGACAAAGTTTTTCTTACTGACTCGTCCCGTATATCTAAACTCATGAAGTTATAATCATTTAGAGCGAACAATTTTGGCTACGATCATGGCTATTGAATCTTCGCATCTCCAACGCTCAAGGTCTCCTTAAAATCTTTCGCGATCCCGTTCGCTAATGGTTAAAGAACAAAAGAGAAAAAACAGACGTCTAGTCCAGCGCGCAATCAACGCTCGATAAAGGTTTATCGCAGCGAACGCGAAGCTCGTGTATTTTTTCGTCTATGTTAAACGGCTGATGGAACTGTTGCGAGCCGTGTCGCATTCCAGCCGGTTCCTCAGCAGCTCAGCTGAAATTCTCGGCAGCCTAGATGCCGGAAGCGAAATCCGAGCGGTACGCTCGTGAGCGCGTAATTAACGGGAGTTCCTGAACAGCGAGAGAATACGTAGTATGTAAGTGCTGGCGGTCGATATCTCGCGACCTCTCTCGGCCGACCGCCATCGGATCCGCGCTCAACATCGCACAGTCATACAGAAGCGAAAAGAAGAACCGAGTCTTACGAAACGAGATCCTGGCAACCGCATTCGTAATGCACCGAGCATTAAAGGCAGTTTATAAATATGCAACGAATGTACACACGTGTACCTGAGCGAGAAAAAACGATCGATCAATATTTATGCGAACACGCGGTTGCGTTTGGCCATCGAGCGGGTTAATTCGAATGTCATCGGAGGATGAAAAAAAAAGTCCTTCTTTAGACGCGGTCCTTATTGTAATTCTTCATTTACGATCGTTACTTAAATATAATTAGGATCCTGATGATCATTCGAATGCACACGGGATGATTCTAACAATTGGGTTAAACGATAAAAAAAAAAAAATATGTAAGTGATCCAATATCGTTTAGTGAGATATGGATATATTTTATTTTTTCACAAATTTTTAAGAAAGTACTTAATTTCATTATTAAACGTTTTAACGATAGCATCTTAGCACATCTCGGTGATTGTTTAAATACGAGTATCGAACAACTAAACGATATTTTAGGAACAGGCAAGAAACGTTTAAAGAATACTTGGAAAGTAACGGCGAAACTATAAGACTAACTATAATATTCTTTTTAGAACGGAATTCTACTAGAATTCTTTTTTCCAACGGAGAAAGTTAAAAGAGCGATAGTTAGGTTGAAATGTTTTACCTCCTTGCAAGCATTAGAAAACGTATTTATCTTTGCACTAGTGCGAAATACATCATCTTCTTATCTAACAGCTAAACAATCGATAACAAGGCACCGCAGTGCTCGGTACGACCTACTTTTCTAATATCAACACTGAACGTTTTAAACGGGAAGCTTACTCAGTGGCTACGTGCCTTTACTGACTGAAATAATTCTTTTTTTTTACGTAGCTTGGAAAACTAATTGCGATTTTATAAACTTTATTCGGTATTTATATATTGTACGATCTCAGTGTTGCGATAATTTACGAAATAATGCGATTACTTTACGATTTATAGAGTTACGCCGCTTGCAGATATTATAGTATATTCCACGATCAAGAAAAAAGATTTTTCTAACAAAAGAGGAATAGCGTTAGAATTGTTATTACATTTTCTAATTCTTTTTTCAACACTATACATATCCACAAGAAAATACACGAACTTCTAACGATAATACACGTACTGAATACTTTTGCAATTTGCTAGAATCTCTGGAAATAGAAAGTGTGCACATACTTGCATTACTCCACACAATATAGTATATCAATGAAGATAAACCAGATATCACACTGCAAAGTCTATTCTTCCTCGTCTCGTGCAATTGCTCTCATTGAATGAATTTATCAATAACGTTATCGAAACTTCAAAAGTATCACGCGTCTTATCGATTATCAGAAATATCTTAACGTTTTGTTATCACGTTCCATTATTACATATATCCGAACGTGCCAAAGATACTGTTCTCGAAATTTATTCCCTTAAAATCTATTACCATTTTCATCGTTTGTTCCTCGTAAGGAGGAAACATTTTCGTATCCTTCGTATCCTTCTCTTCCTGGTCGCAATGAAAAAGCTGCGGCGCCTGGATCGGACCACGAGACGTATTGTTTACGCGCGCGTGGCGTAACCCTAAGGAGTGCGCAGAGCTTTTAAAGCAGGAAGGGGGCGAGGAAAAACGGGAGCATCGGATCCCACGACAGATCCTCTCCGATCCAGAGAGACAAGCGAGTCGCGTATACACCCACGTGCGCCGGTCGACGAGGTACGGAGAAGAGATTCGGGTTTCCCGCATGAAGGAGGAGGACGCGAGCCGCGAGACGAAGAAGAAGAGGAAAAGAGGAGAGGGCAAAGGCGGCTAATGGTAATGGTAGCAAGTCAGTGTCTCTCGGTCCGCCGTCGAAGCCGGTACATATTCACCTCGTCGTGGTCCACGTATGCACTCGGTCGCTTTTTCCTCGCGGTTTCGCGATATTTCGAAAGAGGGTCTCGATCGATCGTGTCCTCTCTCCGCTTGCAAGCGTTCACCTTTCGAAGAGGAACCGGCGGTCTCGTCGATCGACCGAGGACGGGTTCTTCGATCGAGTAGCTCTTTTTCTCTTCCGGTCAGCGAGCTCTCCCTTTCGCGATCTCTCCCCGTTGGAACCTTTCGATCCGACCTTTGGCGCCGTGGCTCTTCTCGCCCCTATGAATCTTTCATCGGCGCTCCCTGGCTGAAAGTGTCGACGGCCCTGTGAGTCGAAATCCTCGCCGATTTTTACGCGTAACAGGAGCGTCTCTCGTGGACACCGCTGGAGATCGCACGACGGCCCCCGAGGGAATGCGCGCAAGAAACGGCCACCGCCTGGAACGAGATTTCGTAGATCCGCGCAACCTCCTTTCTTGGTTGCCGTAAAAAAGAAAAGAAAAGAAAAGAAAAGAAAAAAAGAAACTAGCATGATTTATGAGTCGCGTCAATCGCCGCGGCTGATCCACGCCGCCAACTAACACGCGTCCGTCGCTCGTTCCTCGAATCGAATATTGGACCGATGGTTGCCATCTTCGCGCTATCTGTGCTCTGACGAACGAGGAATCGGCCAAGAGACTCGATAAGTGATTACAAAGTCGAAATGAACCTGTTCTCGTGGTACGGTTGAGGATCAAACGCGCTGTTACTTTCGAGGTTCCGTTGCCAGGTAGCGTTATTAGAAACTGATATTCCGATAGTATTTAGTAGTTAGATGGTAACAAGTTGAGTGATATATTTTATTAAAACGAGAGGTGATCAAATTAGAATTATTTAACGAATGTAAAAGCTTGTCGAAGAATGTCACGGGGTTCGATTATTAAAGACTCTTGCAACGAGCAAGTGGATAAACTCAAACGTGGTCGCGAAGTCGAAGCTACTTCGTAAAGATAAGTCTACGAATAATTTGCAATAAGTTAGAACGATAAATAATAATGGAAGAACGTCGTGAACGATAGTTACGGAAAAGCCAGTGCCTTAATAGTATTTCTTCTCGCAATAAATCAGTGAACGAACATAGTGATAAATTCAAGTTAATGATTGTTAAACTATTTTCAAAGCAAACCTATTTGATAAAAGATCTCGAAACAACTTGACTTCGAAGACAACGCAGACAACGATCGCGGAGTTACATTTGTCCTTCGAATCGCCGTCGCAAGTGCAATTACGAGAGAAACCTGCCTGTTGAAGAAATTATTATTATTATTATCAGTGACTCGGGTTAGGCCAGGATTTTGCTTCGCGACGACGCAATATACGAAGACAAACGCTGATCGTAAATCTGAAATCGTGCTCACGAGCCTAATTAAAAAGCGAACTTGTCCATTGAAGAACGTCTCGAATTACCATGATCGAAGACACGTGTCTCAACAGTGATTTCTTTGCAACGAATCGATGAATGCACTCAGGTTATCGTTATCGCGTTAGTTATATTTACTTCTTAAACCGTCCTCGCAAGTCCGGCTTATTTACGAAAAAATTCCTCCGACGAATACCATCAAACGATTCGCGATCGACGAAATAATCAACGAACAATAATCGCAAACTTGAATCTATTTTTAAATCACCCTCGTAATTTTCTAACGAAAATCCGCTTACCCTAGAACATCTCGAGTTAACGATATCAAGAGCGAATTAATATCTCAACAGTGTTGGCGTCCGCCACGAATTAACGAACAAATCGAGACGGTGATCTCACAACTCCATCGAAATCGCGTCGAATCGCTATCGAAATTTTCGCGCTGCTTGCAACGAGCCAGCGTGCAAACTCGAGCGTTAATAGCAAAATAAAAAGTCACTCGAATCGTCGTTACAACTTGTATCCAAGAAATCAGCAAACTATCAGAAACTGTGAAAATATCGAGAGAGAAATATCAGCAAGATCAATCGTACCAGCCGAAATCGCGTCAAAAGAGAAGATCCATCGCGCGTTCAGCAAGCGCACCCTTGTTCTCCAGTCCGCTTATCAAGGTCGACATTCTCGAAGCCGATCCATTGCTCGGAGATGACAGCGTGATGATAGAGGCGCGGAGGAACGTGCCGGTGCTTCCTGTGAGCATGGGGTAGAAATGTACCCCGGAAGGTCAGCGTGGACCCGGGGCGTCCTGGCCCTCGGAGTAGGGGCCCTGTTTCTGCTGGCATGGCGGATCGACACGGCCGGCGACGCGTTGTCTACGTCCACGCCGATCGATTCGGACAGGAACTATTTCAGCGTGGC